TTTCTTACTTTGTCGCGTAAAACAGAAACGGTGCATTGATGGTGCTTTACTTCCGGTACTCCACCGGAATCCGGAAAGCCGCGGGATACAAAGCCAAAGCGCCATAACCACTTAAGGAAGCTTTGGCCAAAGTTTGCAACAGAATCTGCGTCGTGGAGTAAGCGGATTTTCCCACCTCAAAGTGCTCCCTGTTATATCTTTATAAATGGAACCACTCGAGGCTGTATGGAAAAGCGACAGCCTCGATCATTCACCGGATTTACGATATTACGGCTTCTACGTTTGTTGATTCTAGGAAATATTTCGAAAAATATCTGGCTAATATCGCGAGATATTTTTCTACGTCAATAAGTAAACCACAGTTTGTAAAAGTTAGGAATGATTGTGATGAGAGAAAACGACGAATGTGTTATGAAAGAAATGTCTACGATTAAACACGGTTACTTTGTAATTTATAAAATATTATTTCTTGTATTTTTAAGCGCGCTTTTTTATCGTGCGATGATTTATGACGTTCACTTCCTTATATACAGTCGATAAAACAGAAATCGATTACGATGTGTGATAATTGAAATGTGTTTTAAATAGACATTTATTGTCTTACATTTGCATTTAAGATTAAGAAATTTTTTATTTATACAGCCTAACACTCGGTGCATACTTTTATCACACGTCACGGCGGCTTTAAAGCCCCCTTGCGATTTTAGCGTCGCTTCCAACCTTACCGATTCAATGTAGAATAAGATTACAACATTAGTAGCGGATAGAATTAGAACTAAAGGTAAACATGAAATTATAAATAAGTGTTTTGCGAAAGGAGAAATGAATAGACTGTAAACTGCTGTAAAACAGTACTCGCGTATTGTAACCATTTGTAAAATACACTTTGGATAGTTATTTTACAATAAATAATTGTTTTTTTGATAAATAATTGCATTTCGCGAAAAATTTCGAGCCTCTGAGAAATGGTTGACTTGTACTACTGGCCTGGAACAAATTTCGATGTCTGACTTATGGCTGACCCGCAGGACAGTTGAAAATCGGACGAAAATCAGGGAGGTCAACCATAAGTCAGCCGTCGAAACTGATTGGCTCAGGTATGGTTGACTTTACTACCAACAAATTTCGATGTCTGACTTATAGTTGATTCGCAGAAAATTGAATTTTCTATTTAAAAAATCAACCAACCTGATAATGCTTCTATCCTGACGATGTTCTCGATCCTTCCGCTTTGAATGCTGACGGCAGACTGAGCAGAACAATGCCTCTGGTCTTTCTTTGAAACTCCCAGGTGAAACTGCTCCAATGGTAAACTGCGTGATTTCTAATGTTTCT